TACAGTATATTATGGAATTTCTTATTTGTGCCTTTAGAATTGTTTAGCTTTAGTAGTTTCTTTTCACCTATAAAAATTTTGCAGTTTATGTAAAAAAAATTTGGAGTCATTGATTTGATGAGTATATCATTCATTTTTTGTTTTCTAAGTCATAATATCCATTTTCTTGGTTCTATGTGCAAGAGATCTTACACTAATGCTTGGTGGATTACTTTTTTCACATAGTTATTATGCAAAATCTTTAGCATTTGAAAATTTGTTTTCCTTCTTCTTAGATTAGTCTATTAGTCATTAGTTTGTTCCCCATGTGTATTCATTGAATTTTACTTTTGACATTGTCAGATAAAGTTAAGTTTTCATTGTTGATATCTGTAATAGGTTTTTTTGAGATAATATTGTGACCCTATTTAGTATTTAGTTTTACATGCAAGGTAGTTTAATTGATGATAGCAACTACTAGAGATATGAATATGCTAAACCATATAAAATGGCATGTCATTTCTTATAATCCTTGTAGTGGGGCTATGCACAAACTCATCCTTGGAGAAAAGAAAATGTCTATTCAGATTCAATATTAAAAAATCAGGAGTTTGAATCTGCGATATCACTTCCCTATCCATCCTCTCATTGTATGTGTTTCGTAGGCATGTGTTTTGTTTGAAAGAGTCTAGAAGGAAGCTGTGGCTGGTATATTGAAACTCAATCAAAAGTAACTTTGAGATATAGACTATGAAAGATTATTTGAATTCTATATTGGTCAAAGAGTATAAATCCCATAATGATAACCTCTCAAATTTGACATGAAATGTGAAAATATGACAGATTGGTCAAATTTTTATAATAAAGTTGATTATTTGTTGATTTGGAGGTTACTTTCTTCAAAATTGATGATTTGGGAGGTAGATTTGCAAATATGTCTGGTTTAAGGGACATATATGAAAAAACCCTTATAAAAAATTGGGGAAGCTCTTTCTGCCCTACTACTTTCGTATTTTAGAATAGGCACACGGGTTTAAAAAGTCTAATGGTTTTCGAAGTTACTTTTTAATTTGCCTAATTTACTTGCTTTACCTTTTGCAACATAGGGCATGTTTTGTTGATAAGAAGTAGTTAAAGTAAGAAGTAGATTAAATCTATGACTTCTAAAGTTATAAAGTATTAAGTAACGGAAGTACTACATTTTTGTTTGTTTCATAAATTTTAGAAGTATAAGAATTTTTTTTTTTTGGTAAATGAAAAGCTTTATTCATCCACCAAGTATGAAAAAATTTAAACATCAAGATACTCAGTATATTAGTTATTGAGATCACAGAAAAAAAAAAGTTACAAACCCTGTAACTAACTCTTCAAATCAAACTGACCCCATAGTGAGCTGAAGCACCATTAAGCATTATGGTTGAGATTTCAAATTTGATGACCTTGACTAGATGCTCCGCATTTTTAAATTTTTGAGTGAAAAGTCTTGCATTCCTCTCTTGCCATAGGATATATATTGATGCCGTCAGTGCTAATCTTCTGAGTTGTGCTTGTATTCCTTTGCCTCTTGATCCAGTTCAACAGCAATCTCAAATTGCATGATTTCCACCGAAAATTTAACCAGTCCATGATAGAGTTCCATATGTAGCAAGAGAAGTTACATTCAAAAAACAAATGATCCCTCGATTCCATACTAGCACCTGAGCATAAGCAGCATGAATTTGCACTGATGATCCCCCTCTTTATTAGCCTATCTTGTGTAAGGAGTCTGTTTTGAACTACTAACCAACTGATAAATGAATGTTTAGGAACATTCAGTCCTCCCCAAACAGTTTTATGCCATGGGACTAAGTTTGCTTCAGGGGAGAGTTTCCTATATAATGCTGAAAGTTTTAGCTTTGAATTGGTATAGCACGACCTGATAAGGTTTGTCACATTGTCAACACCTCCAAATTCATTCAACACTTTATCCCTTGTTTTGATCACTTGCTTCCACATCTAAGAGTCATCTGGTTTTGCTCTAATTTGCCATATATTTCCATGTTTAAGATATTTTCCATGGATCCATTTGATCCAAAGTGACTCCTTATTGGTGTTGCCATATATTTCCATGTTTAAGATATTTTCCATGGATCCATTTGATCCAAAGTGACTCCTTATTGGTGTGTATGAACCATATGCTTCTTAATATATTTTCCATGGATCCATTTGATCCAAAGTGACTCCTTATTGGTGTGTATGAACCATATGCTTCTTAATACTGAGGCAATATTCCAGATTTGAGCTGAAAAAATCCCCAAGCTACCTTGATTCATCCCTAAGCATACTTTATCCCAAGACACAAGAGAACTCCTGGAGGTTTGATCAGTTGCACCCCATAGAAATTTCTTGCAAATCTCATCAATTTTGTGAAGTACCTTTACAGGCAAGATGTAATTTGATGTCCAGTATATTAGCACTCCAAGTATTACACTTTTTATAACTTGTAACCTGCCTGCATAAGATAATTTTCTTTTCTTGGTCCAGCTTATGAATTGGCCTGTGATTTTCTCAAACAGAGGGTTGCAATCCATGAAAGAAAGCCTTTTAGATATAAGAGGTACTCCAAGATACTTTATTGGAAAATACCCCTCTTTAAATCCAAGAATATTAGCAATATCAGCCTTAACTGAATCCTCCACCCCATCATAGTAAATAGAACTTTTGTCTGGATTTGCCTCTAAGCCTGAGACTGCACCAAAATTCTTGATGCACTGATATAACTTTTGAACAGAAACTGCTTCACCTTTAGCAAATAAAAGCAAGTTATCCGCAAAAATTAGGTGAGTGATTTTCAGCTTCTTGCAGTTAGGATGAAATTTGAATGACATGTCCTCTTTTAAGGAGACCATGCTTCTTGAGAAATACTCCATACCCAATATGAAGAGATACGGAGAGAGGGGATCCCCTTGTCTCAATCCACGCTCCCCTTTAAAGTATCCATGAAGTCCATCATTGAGGGAGATAGAGTATTTAGGAGTAGTAATGCAAACCATTATCCAATCAATCAACACATTTGGAAATCCCAACCCCATAAGCATATCTCTGATGAACCCCCAACTAATAGTGTCAAATGCTTTCCTGATGTCAATATTGAGCATAACCCTTGGGGAGATTTTTTTCCTGCTATAGCTTTTAACCAACTCATGAGCTAACATGATGTTACTAGAGATCTGTCTCCCTTTGACAAACGCACTTTGTGCTTCATTCACTAGATGTCCCATAACATGTTTTATCCTATTTGCAATTATTTTTTATATGCATTTGTATATACAATTGCAGCAAGAGATTGGTCTGAAATCAGAGGGGGTTTTAGGACATTGTACCTTTGGTATAAGAGTGATTGAAGTGGAGTTTGCAGTCCCCAATAACTTGCTAGTTTTGAAAAAAGTTTCAATTGTCAGGGTGATCTCTTCTCCGATAACAGGCCATGCATTTTTGAAGAAAGACATACTATAACCATCAGGCCCCGGTGCTTTATCATCAGACATTGAGAACATTGCATTTTTAATTTTATCTTTAGTCACTGGAATTGATAGTTCCCTGATTTGAGATTCAGTTAGGCAAGGTCCTGCTTTGATGATGCTCATGCTTGGAGGGGAGGTGCTAACTGCTTTGCCCATGAGGTTTTTATAGTAAGATACAAGTTCCATCACTCATGCTTGGAGGGGAGGTGCTAACTGCTTTGCCCATGAGGTTTTTATAGTAAGATACAAGTTCCATCACTATCTCATCTCCATCAATGATTTTATCATTTGCCCATGAGGTTTTTATAGTAAGATACAAGTTCCATCACTATCTCATCTCCATCAATGATTTTATCACCCTTATTATTGTAAAGGGCCACCACTCTATTGTTATGTCTGTTAGATTTAGCTACTGCATGGAAGAACTTGGTACATCTATCTCCATTCATACTCCAAGCTATTTTGGGTTTTTGTTTGTAGAATGAAAGCTCACAATCAAGAAGTTTATTGTAGGTATAGAAACATTCCTTTTCCTGATCAATAAGAGCAGAGTTGAGAGGGTTTGATTGAAGAGTTCTTTGTGCATCCTCTAATGCAATTTTTACCCTTTGCACTTGTTCACTGATGTTATTGAAGTGTTTCTTGTTCAGTTCCTTCAGAGCTCCTTTCAACATTCTAAGCTTAGAGTAAACTGAGAACATAGTATGTCCTTGGACAGGAGTTTGTTATATATTTGTTACTATGGCAGGAACCTGTCATGCTTGATACACATCTTAAAAAATCTGAATGTCTTTTTCACCTGAATTTGATCCTCATACACAGATACAATGCCTGGGGAGTGATCAGAAAAGCTTGGAGTCATGTACTCAACATGGCTAGAGTTGAAATTATTAATCCAAGTATCATTGACCAGGGTTCTATCCAGTCTACTCCAAATCCTGGAGTTTGCACCCTGCTTGTTATTCCAGGTGTAGAAACAACCTATTGTTTTCAAGTGATTTTGAGAGCAGTCCTCAATAAACTTGTAGAAATCTCTAGTGTCCTCCTCAGTAAGATTTACTCCTCCTAGTTTTTCTTCATCACTAATCATTGTATTGAAGTCCCCAGAAAGGATCCATGGCAAATTCCCTATTCTTTGAGCAGTGCTATTAAGATCATTCCACAACTCTTTCCTAGCATCCAAATGGTTGAAGCCATATATAGTAGAGATGATACAGTCCAATCTTCCATCTATTGATTTGACAGAGCAATCAATATGTTGATCAGTCTTGTTAATGACTTGAATATCAAAAAAATTTGGATCCCAAAGAATAATAATCCTGGCTTTCCTTGAAGTCCTGACATTAGACACCCAACTCCAATTGCTTGCAATCCTCTTGGTAGTAATGGGAATTGAAGATTCCTTAACTTTTGTTTCAAGAAGAGCTAAAAAGGATAAATGGTATTGCTTTATGTGATTCCTTACCATGTGTTGCTTGGAGGATTTATTCAATCCTCTCACATTCCAGAAGGACAGATTCATTTAATAAAGACCCCCCTATCAATCGTAGAGGGATCTCTTCTATCAATGTTCATTCCTGAAAAACTTGAGGTAGCCTTCCTGACTTTATTGCCTTGAATAAGAGTCCACGAATTATTCATGTTCATGGGACTAATATTTTCTTTATCCTTGTAATTTTGACCTTCCTGCAATACCTCTTTGCCTTTTGCCATAGAGAATGTGTCACAGGTGCCATGTTTTTCCTGATACTCAATATTGCTCCTCATATGCAGGTCAATTTCTTTCCCTTGCAGAGGTACATTCTGATGCAAAATGTCTTCATTCATCATAGCCTCTTTTCCTTTTGTCAGGACTCCCTCCTGAATTTGAGTAACATGCACAGGTTACTCAACATGCACAGGATGATACTGATCATGTACATGATTTTTAACATGCACAGGTTCCATAACATGCTCTTGCATCATAGTCTCATTTCCCCTAGCTTGAAGATCTCCCTGTTAGACATGCACATCAGTTTGAACATGTATAGGTTTAACAGGTTGCATTGTATTGACAGTATTACTGTTTTTCTTAGGAATCCATTTTTGAACCTGTCTTCTACAGAGATTTGATTCATGACCCACCACTCTACAGAAGTTACACCATCTTGGTTTCAATTCATAAAATACCTTTTGGAGATAATTTTTCCCATTTTGACCCTGAATAAGGATTTCATCTGGTAGTTTAGAGGGCATGTTCACTTCAACTAACACCCTTGCATATGCAAGCCTTTGTCTATTGGCTGTAAGCTTGTCTGTGGCAATTGGTTTATCAATAATACTAGCAATTTTGCTAATACTTTTTGCATTCCACAAGTTGAGTTTCAAGCCTGGTAAATGAATCCATACAGGATACACACAATCATTGCCTGGTAAATGAATCCATACAGGATACACACAATCATTCCTCTTTTCTATCTCATCATCCACTGACCAATGCTTCAGGAGGATAGGCCTGGACCCAAAAAACCAAGGGTCATTCTCCAAAATGCTTCTCATATCAACCGTGCTTTTAAACTTGAACAAGAAAAGACCAGGTTTGAGAAGACAAACTTTAGGAATTGCCAGATTTCCCCAGACTTTCAAGACATAAGTTTCCATTGCTTTGAATTTGGCATTTAGACCCAAAACTTGTCCAATAAGTGAAGATTTCCAAATAGAACTTCCTTCATTCCATTCATCCTCAAAAAAAAATACTGAATCTTCAACATTTGGTGGCACATAATTCAGACTGAAGCCATTCCCAAGTTTCCTATTATCAGCAAAAAAACTCACCCAACTTTTCTTGGCGATAACAGGATCTTGAGGATCTTGAGGATTCTTCATGGAATCCTGTGGGAGAACACTAGAAGATTCTAAAGGAGGAAAATCAACTTTATTTGCATCAAGAATTCCGACATCAGATCTATCTTGAGATAAACAGCTTTTCTTGGCGATACCAGAATCTTGAGCAATCTTCCTGGAATCCTAAGGGAGAAACCTAGAAGATTCTAAGGGAGAAAAATCAACTTTATTTGCATCAAGAATTCCATCTTCAGATCTATCTTGATATTGTTAGACCCTAGAGGGGGGGGTGATTAGGGTCTTATGCTAATCTAATCTGATTATATGCCAATTAAAATTAATTAATAAGTTATCCTAGCAAGTATGAAATACAACAATATGTGTAAGCTAGGATAAGCAATATGAACAACAAGATATATCCTAATAATGAGATATAGGCAATGTATGTGCAAGGATATATAAACAACACAAGAGTAGATAATCTAAACAAGATAGTAGATGATATAGTAATGAGCAATGCACAATGACGATATAAGATATGATCATAAATAAAAATGAACGCCAAAGAACACTCAAACACAATCAAGTGATCACGGAGTTTGGACCTTCCGTCCTACGTCTCCGCTCCCCACTCCCGGGGAGAAATCCACTATCAACCGGGTTTTCTACGTTCACCCGAACAACGTTTACACCTCACACTCGGTTTTCTAGCTAACCGAAAACTTTACAATCAACACTCTTGTAATCCCACTCTACACCCACTAAGTGTTGGACCTAGCCGTGTCTCCCTCAAGTGCTCGGTTATAACCTCTCCCTAGGCTCGTCAACCGACGCCACTCCTCTTGGGACGATCCTCGACTCTCACCACACACTCCTCACTCGGTGTACAAGTGTATTACAAAGTGAATCTCACAATAAGCACAATATAACAAATGATTGTTCTCAACTATGAATGAGAACACAATGAAAGCACAACTCAAAGTTACAATCTCTCACCACCCAACTATACTATGTATGTAAATACTAAAAGCTCAATGTGTGTGTAACAATGAGTAAAATAAAATCTAACTCAAATAGCAAACTAGCAATAATAAGAATATAAAAATCAATAATAAAATTGCTAGAGAAAAGAGATAGAAAACTTCTCTATGAACACAAAGAAGAGGATGAAGGGGATTAAGAATGAATCCCTCAATCTGCAGTGAAAACTTCCTCCTTTGTAAACAGAAACCCAAACTTAAACAAACAGTAAAACCCTAAACCCTTGTTTAAAAACTTCTTTGCTTTCCCTTGAAAGAGAGCAGCAATAGGGTATTTATACCCACTCTAACTCTCAGTCAAAACCCTTAACAAAAGATAAAAATAGCCCCAGCAAACAGCTCAGGAAATAGCCGTTGGAAAAGAAACGGATCTATTGTCGGTCGACCGGCGGAAATATCGGTCGACCGACGGAGAGCAAAAACACGAAGACCA